GTCTAGAGAATAAACACAAGGAAAAAAGTACATGTTCAGTACAGACACAGTATTTTTTTCAAGTATTTTCCATCTGTAGTCGTTACACCTATGGATGGAGAACCTATGAAAAGAGAGAGCCAACTCTGCCCAATTATTATGAAAGCCTGATTAAAATTTGGATGACTAAAGAACAGAAACACTAATACGTGTAGTTATTTTTTTTTCTAAAATAAAAAATCCTTGAAAGAAATATAAAAGAGGGCTGGGAAGGTAGCTCAGTGGTAGAGGGCTTACCTTGCATGCATAAGGCCCTGGGTTAGATTCCTCAGCACCACATAAGCAGAAAAAAAAGCCGGAAGTGGCGCTGTGGCTCAAGTGGTAGAGTGCTAGCCTTGAGCTGAAGAGCTGAGGGACAGCGCCCAGGCCCAGAGTTCAGGCCCCACTACTGGACCCACCCCCCCAAAAAAATATATATATATACGTATTGAATATATATATACTATATATATATAGTATATATATAGTATATATATAGTATATATATATATTCAATATATATATACTATATATATATTCAATATATATATAAAAGAATCTTTAGTAGAGAAGGTAAACAAAATACTCATTCATCACCATGCTTCCCAAATTATATCTCTTTTCTGAAACAAACTTAAACACTCTTGTTTCTGTTGACCAGGTTTTTCTTCCCTCAGAAATGTCCCTTTCCTGGAGGAGTTGTGGCTCGAGTGATAAAGCACCTGCCTAGCAAGCCCAAGCCCCTAAATTCAAACCCCAGTATCACTGCCTCTCCCTTCCAAAAAACTCTCAACAGAAATGGCCTTTCATTGTGAAATTTTCCAGATCCAGCTCAAATTTTCTCTAATCCCCCAAGGAGAAATAATTGCTTCCTCTCTGTGTTGCAGTATAATCCACACATATTGTTATAATCTAAGTAAATAACAAGCAAACAATAAGTATTTGTCTCCCTTGTTATATTAAAAGCTTAGTCAGGAACTGAGCCTCTTCCATTGCCATGGTTTGCTCTGCAGCACCTATGTCAGGGCCGGTTAGGGGAACTCACAATAACAGCAACAAGGCAAGGAGTTCAGTATCCCCTTTATGTTAAGTCCTACCACCTCAGACTGTTTTTGTGATGCTTCCCTTAAAAGCAAGGCTGGAGTAGGTTCTCCTTCTGCATCTCTTCATCGTATTTACATTCCTCTGATGCTCATCTTGTGATCTTACAAAATGCTGTCACTACTACTTTCCTATTTTCTACAAGTCAGTTTTCCAAAGTACATCTGTTCTATTTCTATATCTGTTTGTTTCCCTGACATTTCTTTTATTATCTACACTTAAAAAAATGGCAACTGTTCTCACCTAAAAACACAAAACTCCCAAGAACATTAAAAGCCGAAGTGTAATTTTCCCTTCTATAGGAATTTTTTATTCATAACTATGCAATTTATATATCTATGCCACTCTTTAAAAGTACAAGTAAGCTGCACATGTCAAAATCCCAGATACTTACTGATAGAAATTCCATTCTACCTGAGTCTGTTTTCAGATGTGTTTAATTAAATGATATTTACTATGTGATGTGCCAGACACTGTGTTAGGCGCTATGGATATTCACCTCAAAACGAGAAACATGGCTTACTGGGGAGGGGCTTCTCAACATTTACAGTGCAGTGATAAGTGCTATAGCCACATTAAGAATGGGACTAGAGTGTTCCACCTCAGGAAACGCAATGTTGACATAATAAGAGTCTATTTACCGCCAAAGTCCATGATTTCCCTCAGTTTCCAGTAGTCAAATAAGTGAAATGCTATGCATGGTCTTAACTTACACAGCAGTGTAAATCATAATGAACTTTAAGTATTGCTGAGAGCTAGAACTGCAAACTACTTGGGACTGTGAGCTAGGCATGACTTGTTGAGAGCACCTGACTTCCATCGTTACTCATCCTACTTTTCCTGCTTTTCCCAGACACGGGCAAAATCTTTTGCAGCTAAAACAGTGTGTCTTTTTGTCTTGTCAACTACACTTAATTTTTGTTAGTGTACTCATTGTATCCATCAAACAACCCCCAAATCCTCTCTCAAAGGAATCTTTATTTGACCAAATCAATCTCAGTATGTTTTGTCTCGCACATGATCCCCATTTTGGTTGTGATTTATCAATATCCAGAGCTAGGCTTCTGCCTGCCAATTGTATTGTGGAGCCACTGGAAAGCATTTTCGTTATTTTACCTAGCTAGCTCTTAGCAAAGTCCACCTGGATTTATTACCCCTCATAGCCTTTTTCCAGCCCAAGGGTACAATACAAGCAAAGCAGTGCTGACATCTCCTTTGCCCCAGTGGGATACTTTGCAAGACAGAAGGCCTACCAAATGGGATGGCTCCATTCATTCAGTCTTCACAGATGTGACATTCTCCCTTATGACAAAATTTAAATCAGGCTGCTTGTTTGTCTTCAGTAACTTTTTTTTATCCCCCACACAGTAAGGTCCATGTCTTTATTCTAGGTAAAGGCAAGTGTAATGAGGAAAACAGATATTGGAGGTGCTCCATTTGAAAGCTGAAGCTGTGTTCATCTCTGTAAATTCTTAATAGAAGAGTTTTTAGAGTTCTGTTGGTTCTGATTCTCAAAGGACCAGACTATCTCCAGACACCCTCTCTCTCACAGAAAACTTCCATCCTCTTTTGTAGTGCATTGCTATAGAATATTCCATCAGTATGACTCTGTTTCTAGTTCCCAGTTTAGAGGTAGGTATCTGTAGCCACCACAAACGTCCTGTTAAAGTCAAGTAAAAGTATTACTTTTACTGGACATACTAGTTTTTAGCTGGCTAAATTTAAGTTCCTTGCTTTTAGCTGGATGCTGATGGCTCATGCCCATGATCTGAGCTAGAGCAGGCTGAGATCATTCAGAATCAGCCTGGGCAAAGTCCACAAGGCTCTATCTCCAATTAACTAGCAATAAATAAATAAATATTAACAATTAAAAAGCTGGACTGGAGGCATGGCTTAATGGTAAGGCACCAGCTATGAGAGCAGAAGGCTCTCAATTCCAACCCCAGTACCAGCATCTGCTCCCCATCCTGCCCCCCCACAAATCCTTGTTCTTGAGTGGAAAGATTACTTTTAGCTAGTTCTGAATTTTTAAGGTTAAAACCTTTAGAGGGAGCCAATACAGAACCATCAGCTTAGTCCTCCAAAATCATCTCTTCAAGAAAATGGCAAAAATATTTAGAGTTCTAGGGACTCTCTCAGTTTGAAAGAGCTTACCAATATGTTTCCCATTCACCAAAAACTATCCACCTCCAGCCCCACCAAACCCAGCAGAAGGCAATTCTACTGGTCTCTCTTCTGGAAGTTCTCCATCTAGGCAAAGCCTAGCTAGTTCCCCTATATACCAGCAGGACTTTGGCACAGTAACAGGTGGGCTGTGTGCACCACAAGCTCTTTGGCCAAAAAAAAAGGAAGGAAGGAAGGAAGGAAGGAAGGAAGGAAGGAAGGAAGGAAGGAAGGGAAGGAGGGAGGGAGGGAGGGAGGGAAAGGAGAGGGAGGGAAAGGAGAGGGAGGGAAAGGAGAGGGAAGGGAAGGGGAGGGGAGGGGAAGGGAAGGAGAAAGGGAAGGGAAGGAGAAAGGGAAGGGGAGGGGAGGGAAAGGGAAGGGACAAGAAGGAGAAAGGGAAAGGAAGGAGAAAGAGAAGGGAAGGAGAGTGAAGGGGAAGGGAAGGAGAGGGGAGGGGAGGAGAGGGGAGGGGAGGGGAAGGCAGACCCACTGGTTGGGGTTTCCTGTGTTGGGCTGCCCAGGATAGTGAGAAGCTTCTCCTTTTTTCTTAGTCTGTTCTCACACTCTATCTTAAATAGTGGGCAGCTAAGCTCCAGCTTCAACACTTTCCCAGCTTTCTACCTATAGCACAGTGAACTGCCAATAAAAAAATTAAATCTCACTAACAAAATTGAGAATTTAAGCACATCCATTTTATGACTGAATTACCAGAACTGCTCTGGACAGCATGGAGGGATCTCTAATTCTGTGAACAGTATTTCCAGTTCTGTAATACTAATCTGAATAAACAATTGGGAGTTATAGTGTTTGCGGTCAAATATAACATATAATGCACATATTATATTCACTCAAAGTAGTTACTGAAAGCAGACTATACAGCAACATGGAAAACCTTGCTTAGGAGGTGGAGGAGACCAAAACAAACTACAACTATAATTGTTGTTGTAATAGCATGATAGGGTTTTTAAAGCAATAACCAAAGAGTTCACTTGGTGAGTTCTTATGTGGTTTTAGTGTACTAGAAGCAAGCTAAATTTCCCTGTCCCCATTCTTTGTCAAATAACTAAACAAATATCTGACATAGAGTACGTCCTTCTTGAAATTCTCAGTGTTTTACTGGTCCTATATAGGGGGTTTCTCACACTTACCATCAATGCCCCATAATAACCCTGTGAGATTACCATGGCCTTCACTGTGCCTGTGTGAAGAAACTGCTACCCAAAGTCACTCAGGGGTGTCAGAGCCAAGAGTCAAACATCCTGCCATCTGACTGGTTTGTTCACTGCTCTTCCCGGGTGTTTTTCCAGTTGTTTAAACCCAATGAAAATGTCACCATTTGTACCATCTTTCGAAGTCACATGTCTGTTAAATCAAATTGACGCAACCACTGTGGCGCTCGGGATTTGAAGGCCTATCCCGGCTTTCTCCAAGAGCCCGTGGGCACGAACCCAGACGAGGCTCAAACTACAGGTGTGAACCGTGACGGTCAAAAAGGAGGAAGGGAGGGCCGGGGGCCCCAAGGCCTAAGGCGAAGGCGGTTCCACTTCCCAGCCCAGCTAGTCCTGGGGCCGACTCGGCTCTTTCAGAAGCCGGCCACGTGGGGATAAAACCCGAGCTTCCAAAAGGTCGAGGTGACAGCTGCACCCGGGGTGCAGAGGTCGCCGCGGGGGGACCGGAAGCGCCTCGACCCCGCTCGCCCCGCGGCCGGCAGGCCTCACCTTGAGCGTCTCGTAGGCGGTCGCCACCAGCAGGAAAGCCTCGGCGCTGGGCGGCGCCCGCCCGG